CTCTCGTTCTCTCTCTGAGAATCCTATTTCTTTTCCCATTGACAAACTGGGAACATCAGCACACCCTTCCTGGTGTGTCTCTTGAGGTGCCACAGGATCTTCATCATTTGAACCCTGGCATCTATAACACAAGGTGTGATGCAGAATAGTAGATGCTCAGTACACTTATGAATGGCTTCTTCATCCTCCCTATCTTAATTACATGAGTTATTAAGTCATAACACCAAGAAATACTCACTTCAAATAATCAGCTAAACTATATGAGTCAGATAAAATTGGCAATGATGTTGGAAATTCTAAGAAGTAGCAACCATATAATAAAAGTCAACTTGCGTAAGCCTGAAACTGTTCCATCCCTTCAGCATCACAGGATGCTATGAATAAACACATGCAAGCAAGCATATAGTGAGTAACCAGCATTAGATTGATTTTTAAGTGTTTATTTTATCTCCGTCTCTTCTCTATGTCTGGAAAAGTGATTCTCATGAGTTTTCTAGTCCTTCTGTTAAAGAATAGTGGTCATTTACTTTCCACATGTGCAGTAATTTTATTTCTTATTTTGGTTTCATATCATTTCAAGACATTCTTAAATAGAATTGGGGTCACTTTTGTGACTAACCTGACCTGGAGGGGATAGCATATTGATATCGCTAACATTAGTTCTATGTGATAACAATGAATTCCCAACCCAAGGATGATGGACCCTGGCCACTTTCTGGATGGCAACTTTAAGAAAAGTGATTGCTTCATGCCTTTATCATCAAGATATATGTGGAAGAGGGCCTGGCTCACATGGAGCTATTTTTATTCCTGAGCACCATTTTACAGTACTTTCATCTTAAATCTCTGATTGACCCCAATGACCTTGAGACCACCCCAATTGCTAACAGACTTCGATCTTGGCCTCCCTCATATCAGCTCTGTTTCATTCCTATGTGAAGAAGAACAGATTGTCTGGCTGCTGTTGTGCTCCAGTCTGCAATTCCCTCTTCCAGGACACGTCCCATCTACCACTTTCCCCATCAGGGATGCCTTCTTAACCTCTCCTCTCACTTCTCCCCATTCCTTCAAGATTCAGGGAGTTTAATTCTCCTTTCTGGGAGTTTTCTATGTTACTGCACAAATATCTGCTATTTCCTGTGCTCCATAACACCTCAAGTGCTAACACTGATCCAATGCTGAGTTATTAATATGTTGTCACTGTAAAACAGCAGAGTGATTAGAATATGATCTTGCAGAGTCATGTATTTCCTGCATATTCTGAATAAATAGCCCTATTAATTTTTTCTCAAATATTTATTTTTTAGTTATAGTTGGACACAATACCTTTATTTTATTTATTTTTATGTGGTGCTGAGGATTGAACCCAGGGCCTCGCACATGCTAGGCAAGTGCTCCACCACTGAGCCACAACCCCAGCCCTGAGCACTATTAATTTTTAAAAAGACATTTTTTAAATAATCAAAGAAATGATAAAATGTGTAAACTCTCCTCCCAGTGTCTCATCTGCTAAGAAAACATGTTGAAGGGGATCTAATGTTTGTTAAAGTTTTCATCAAGAATGCATAACTAAGAGCAAGTTTTAGTCTTCTGAGCAGTCACAAGCTTTAGGGGGAAAAAGTCTATTTAAGGGCTCTTTTCAAAACGCCAGTAAAGTCCCATCACCATTTAACAGCAATTAGGAACATTAACAATGTACACTGCATACATATTACCCAGTTGGATATTTTTATTGCTAGCAGATTTACATCCCCAAAGAAGGAGAGTAAAATGTGGTTTAGATGGGAACATTATGAGCACTGCCTTCAGGAGTCAGGAGGGTGCATGCAGAGATGCTGAGAGTCAAAGCCCTGGAAACCTTCGTTTCTAAGGGAACCCTGAATATCACAGTGCTACACAGGAAGTAGGTGATTTAGCCCTCCTTTTATTTTATTTGCTCTGCAAAAACCAACAAAGGAAAGGTCTCAGGAGTTTTATTGAGATTATCCTGTAATCACATAGTAACATCAGCAGTTCCATCTTTCTACACAGAGGAAGAGACTAGGCTTTTGATTTTTTTTTTTTAGAGAAAAATCATTAATAAACAAAACTCCCTGAGGCCCCGCTAACATCAGGATCAGTCATGGAAGTGCTGGGTATCTGGCTTTGTTCCTTAGGGATCTGAGAACACCCAAGGCAAATGCTGAGTCACAAACTTTCTGCTGACCTAGCCCTTGCTGTGATTACTTATTCACTCAGACATGACTTTGGGTGCAGAATCTAGATGTCAGGGGGTTGTGGGTGATCTCTGACAATACATCTTCTTTGATTCACTTTTTCTACACATAAAGCATCTAGAGTGTTCCAGGAACTGGGCTTGGTATGATGACAAACTACACTAACAAAGCCACCAGCCTTTTGAAATTCGTAATCTAGTGAGATAAACAAGAAAATGTGCTCTGAAGGGAAATAATAGGAGATATAAAAGGGAGACTAATAGGAGGCTTCTTTCTCAAATCAGGTGAACAGGGAAGACTTCTCTCTGGTATGGATGCTGAAACCTCAAAAATGTAAAACAACAACTTGTGAGGTGAAAGCAGCAGGAAGACACAGGCCCCCAACAGCAGCAGTGCAAAAGCCCTGAGGCAGGAAAGAACTCTGCAAGTCCAGAAACTGTGGCTGATCATCCTCTTAAGTGGTTTGTGGCAGCCCTTCCCTCTAGGTCAGTGGTATGGATACCAGAAACACTGACACAGGAGAAAATTGGAACTTGACAGGTACACAGGATTAGGGCTTCTCTCCCAACCTATTCACATACTGCTCAGGACCTACACATCAGACTCGGCTGCAGACTGTTTTCAGATTTAGCCAACTAGTGAAGAACCTGTCCCTATATGTTTAGGATTAATTAGGATTTTCTCAGGATTTGTTCAGGCTTGAGTAAAAATTAAAGCTATCAATTCTAAGAGTTAAAAAAAGAAAGAAAGTAAGGAGTAAAATACTTTTCCATCAGTTTTTAAAAAACATTTTCTACAAGTTTACATGTACCCTGAATGATTTTCTATTGAGTCACAAAATGTAGAAAAAGTATATCTAGTTATCATGCTGTTATCATATACCATATTTTATTACTTCAATTTTTCAGAAATGTTTTTCAAAGAACCTAGTCTCTAATACAATATCTCTAGAAAGCAGTATGGAGATTCCTCCAAAAACTAGAGATGACACAACTCTCCTACTCCTGGGTATTTTCCCAAAAGAACTAAAATTGGCATACTATAGAAATGAAGCCACTTCAACGTTTATGGCAGCACAATTCACAATAGCTAAATTATGGAATCAACTCAGCTGCCTGTCAATAGATAAATGGATTAAGAAATTGTGATATAATATCACACACACACACACACACACACACACATAAACACAAACAAATGGAGTTCTACTCAGCCATTAAAAATACTGAAATTATGGCATTTTCTGGTAAATAGATAGAAATGGAGAATATCATGTTAAGTGAAATTAGCCAAACTCAGAAACTCAAAGGTTGAATATTTTCTCTCATATGTGGCAGCTGGAATAAATTAAAGGAAAGGAGGAGGGAAGGATAAGATTACATAAAGAACCAATCAAATACAAATTAATAGTTGAATGAAGGGAAGTCTAGTAGAGTTGAGGAAGGAGAAAGGGAGAAGGGAGGGAGGAGGGAAATGGGGGAAGAGAGGAAGGAGGAGGGAAAAAGGTGTATTATGAACTGAAACAGATTTCTATGCATGTATGAGTTTGTTGGGATGAACCCAACTACTATGTATAACTATTAAGTTCCAGGAAGATGGAGAGGAGAAGGAGAAGGAGGAGGAAGGAGAGGGGTAAGGGGATGGGGAGAGGGAAGGATGGGGGTGCGGGAAGGAACCACCACTATCTTGGCCTGATTTTAACTGGCAGCCACAACATGCTCCTTGCCCCACAGTTGACCTCCAGTTCAATTCCTGTTTACCAAGAATAGGAGATTGAACGCTGAACACAGGGTCCAGAAGATAACCCAATTCTCTGTGTTGATGGAAAACTCTATCCCAACCAGAAGGGCATTCCCAGAGCAGAAGTGTCTCATCCCATTAGATGAGCCGCTCAAAGAGTCTAGCTACAAGGAAATGGTATGATAGCTATTGTTCGACAGACACAGGCCTGAGAGAGTCCCATTAGCTACATTTCTTTGGCAGTTTTTAAAAACTTTTTCTTTTTAATTGACATATAATTTATGGGATATAGTGTGATAACTCAATACACGTATGTAATGTATACTGAATAAATCAAGATAATTAGCATTTCCATCTCCTCATCATTTCTTTGTCAGGAACTTCAAGCTCCTCTTTTCCAGTTCTTCATAAAAACACATAGATTCTGATAAACTACAGTCACTCCACTGTACTGTAGAACATTAGTACTTATTCCACCTAACTGTTTTTTGGTACTGTTATCTATACCTGCTCCCCCCTCCCTTTCCTAGCCACTAGTGATCACTGTTCTACTCTCTGATATGAACTTTTTTGCTTTGTTTTTGTTTTTTGGTACTAGAGATTGAACCTAGAGGCACTTGAGCACTGAGCCACATCCCCATTCCTTTTTATATCTTATTTTGAGACAGAGTCTCGTTAAGTTGCTTAGGGTCTTGCTTACTTGCTGAGGCTGGCCTTGAACTTCCAATTCTCCCACCTTGGCTTTCTGAGCCACTGGGATTACAGGCATGTGCCACCAAGCCAGACTGAGATCAACATTTTTAGCTTCCCCATAATATAAGGGAGAACATGCAGTATTTTGTCTTTGTGTCTGCTTTATTTCACTTAAGGTAATTTCCTCCAATTCCATAGCTGCATATGACAGGATTTCATTATTTTTTATGGATAAATAATATTCCATTGTGTATATATACCACATTTTCTTTATCCACTCATCTTCGGACGATCAACTCAATTGATTTTATATCTTAGACATTGTGAATAGTACAGCAATAAACACTGAAATGGGTTGCTCAGATTAGTTTATTCGTAAATATAGTCCATTACAGAAATAATAATGGCTGCCAGATCTCTTTATTTATGAAAACGTGGTTGAATCACTTTCTGAAGTTTTATTCAACCTTACTGGGAGGGAGGGGGTTCAGAAAATAGCACTTTCTCAGTAAAAAGAAAGAGAAGGAGGAGGAAGAAGAAAACTTTCTCAGTGAAGGGTCTTTATGTTGATTTTGATTTTGTCATTGACTTTGGCCTGTGCCCTGAGAAAGAGGAAGAAAAGTCTTCTAGGATGATGCACAACTCCCCATCAAACCCATGGTGTCACACTGATCTCCACCCTGGTCTGTGTTCAAGCACATTTGGGCTTCTCCAGTCACGTTGCAAAGTTCTTTCTTTCATGACCAAATGTTTAAGTCAATCAGCTGTCGCCTCACTTTAATGTGCTTGCATTTGGTATGCCTTGCTGCAGCAGATGTTTGTAGCTCTGGCCTTGTCTTTCACGGGAGTGGGTGGCGGGCAGCAAGTGGAGGGGGCATTGTAATGCTCAAGGAGTGCCTCTCCTGAAGTCCCATGGGGGCTGGGCAGGCATATGTGGCAGTCAGCACAACTGCCACCTTTCTTCATCAGAACCCCCCAGATGCTTTGTAAACTTTGGTGCTTTCAGGACCATGAAGCCCACAACCACTGGGCTGAATCCCAGTGGTTGTAAAAGTTCTTGCTTGTTATAAATACACTTTCTTTGGGGTCCTAGTAACTTCAGTCTCATGCTGAGCCTCCTCCTTCTGTGATCATAAAATAAGGCCACCAATGATGGCTTGAACTGAAGCTATCACTTGCCCTGGTTTTCAACTTTAACTCCCAGACTGACGAGACCCCATCTGCCTAAAGAGGCCTTACTCTGCTCCTCTCACCTGCCCCTGTCCATCACATGACAACAATATCCACACTCAGCCTGCAGTTTTAGATTGTTCCTGGCACCAGAGAATCAATTGAAGGGTGTGCTTCTCTCTGCTTTGGTGTCATCCTCAGTCCTTTGAGTCCCCAACAGTTCTGCATATGCTACTATCATTCAGAGTTTTTTCTTTAATAATTCGATTAACTTCTGACTTCTCATTTCTGAGGGGTCAAGATTCCCATGAAAGGCAGTAGCTCTCTCCAAACCCTGCATCCTCCTTCTGAGTGTAGAAACTCAATGCCAGCCTCTGCCCCCCTGACTCAGCAAAAACTGCCCCCTATGGCAGATTAAAAGCCCTCAGGCATAGCAACAGAAGCAAACAAATACTTGGACTCTTGATGGCTTAGGGCATAAGAATTATTTTTAATCCACAGCTTCTGGGTTCCATTTAAGCCAGATAAAATTTTTCTACTCCCAAAGCAAAAGAAACAACCTAGTATTTTATAAAAATAATTTGTGCTCATTCAAGAAGAAAGATCTAAATAAGTAAAGTAAATATTACTTAGCTCCCAGAAGTAAATACAATTTATGTTTTAATGTGTCCTTCATATCTAGACTAATTAGACTCCCTCTCTGTCCTGAGTGCCATTTCACCTTGAGGATTTTCTGCATAACTGTCCTCTACTTCCTTTCTCTAACAGAGTAACGTGTTCATATTGTTTTATCCCATCTTTACTGGAAAGTTAAATGAGAAAAGCAATTACTCAGGTATTGAGAGTATCTCATAAGACTCAGCAACCTGATGATGGTCTCTCCCCAGAGTACTGGGTAAGTAAGTACTCAGAGCAATTTAGAAGCTTGCTGCCTGGATTCTTCCTGCTTTTATCATCATTTTTAAAGGAGGAGAAGAACGATTTGTAGGTCGTATCATTGACACTAAAACAAAATGAAATGAGAAATGGTTCAGATTGGTAAAATAAGTCAGCAAAGATACTGTAGGCAAGATAAATATTCAAATAGCAACTTTTCCTGGATTTCAACTTAAATGCATTAGAAAATACGTTGTAAAAATCTTTTCATTTTTGAACGTGACTAAAACCATAAAGAGCAAAAAAAAAAATTCTTTAAGGTAAATAGGGCTCTTATGTTTTAAAATTATGTAACATTGTATGCGTTATACCAAAGAAAACCCAAGTAAACATACAAGTTTATATACCATGTTTGAAGATTTAGGATTAAGAACAAATGAGTACCATTTTTTCATAAAATATAATTTTATTGAAATCTCATTTTAAATTGATTCTGTTAGAAAATTTTCAAAAACAATTGCAGCACTTCAGAAAATATATATATGAAATAATTACAAAGTATTTGATTTGATTTTACTTCCCACCTTCCTGCCTTCTCCTTTCCTCTCTCTCCTCTTCATTCTTCCCTCCTTCTTTTTCTTCCTCACCTCTTTTTCTCTGTCTCTCCCTTTCTCCCGCCAATCCACTTTCTTTCTTTCTGAGTTGAAAGGCACTTTCATTTCTGAAAGTAGAACGTAGAAATTCTACAGGTCCATTTTATTTCTGGATGAATGCAAAAATTCAAAAAAAGACCATTACATTCATTCTAAAAATTAGACATTCATTTGAAATTATTCTATGAATCAAAGTATTATTAATATTGGTACATTTGAAAAGAATGTATATTCTACAGTTATACTTAATATTCTATAAATGTTAATTATATCAAATTGTTTGAAATTATTATTTAAGATTTTTATATCATTACTGATGTTTCATTAACTTGTTTCACCAATTACTGTGAGAGGATATCTTAGTCCCACTTGTGCTGCTATAACAAAATATTTTAGACTTGATAATTTAAAAGCAGTAGTAATTTATTTCCTCATCATTGCAGAGGCTAGAAAATTGAAAACACCAGCAGATTTGGGGTTGTTGTGAAGACTATTCTCTGCTTTCAAGTTGACACCGTTTGCTATATCTCTTATTGATACTCTTTATTGATACTTTTATTGATACTCTGAAATTGTGTCATTTTTCTAGACAATTTGTACATAGCTGATATGTTGCACATATTCTTATTTGTCAATTCCAATTTGTACAGTCCCTGTGAAGTCTACGTTTGTTTGTTTTCTTTTGCTGAATGTCATTTGCTGTTTGTCCCTGTGCCTGATGGTATTTCATTGTGAGCTCACTGTGTGATTATATCTGTGGGAGTCATGCCAATGTAAATGGGACAAGCTCTTCTCTAAAGTTCCATTTATGCAGTTTTTAAATGAAGATAAAAATAGGTCCTATCTTAAAGGCTTGAAGGCTTGTCATGAAGTTGACATGAGGAAATGATCATAAATATTTAACATAGTGCTGGAAACATAGTAAGTAAATAAATTTTAGATTACACTTTTAAAAAACCTGATGCAAAGAATATGCTCAATAAACATTGGATGTAATTATTTAGCCACAGAATTGACCTGTAGTCTATGAGATAGTTTGAAGAATAGTTAAGATATGGAGAGGACCCATGAATCTTCGTTCCAGCATTAGTTATTTAATTTTTTTCAATCCTCTGAGAAGCTTCCCCTAACCCATAAATGAGACCTTCCCCCACTCTATAAATTAAGCCTTTCACCCTCTATTCTCCAGGTGGGATGGGCATGGGTTTCTTGGAAGCTCATCCTGAGACAGGACACTGTACTTATCTGGTTTAGTTTCTGCTCTAAAGTTTCTTTGAGTGGAAGGATGCTAAATTTTGGTGACATGATACTACCTTGAATGAAGATGTACAGTATAGTTTGTCCAGGAGAGGCTACTGTGGCTCGTAGGTTACAATACCAAAATTTAAACAATGGGATTAGGAGCAAATCTTAGAGTAAACCTATGCTTCTTCATTGGAAAATGGCTGAGTTGTTTAAATGGTATATCTGAAAATCCTCCTTGCATCTGGAATCAGGCTCATACTCTTAAGCTTCACAAGCTGAAGTTCCTGATCCACTTCTATGGTCTTCTCACATGCTAGTAGCCAACCTCCAGCCAGATAAAATGACTTCTTGGACTTTCCATACTCTCTCACACCTCCATGTCTTTATCATGCTGTTCCCTCTGCCTGGAATCTGCTCCCTACCTCTTTTCGACTTTGTAACTGGCCTCAGATTCTCTGGACCCTAAGAAGCCTTCCCCCAGTCTATTGCTTGTCTGACTGCTGTTCCCATCTCTGTTCTCCCTCTGCACAGACATGCTATCACAATGCCTGAATTCCATCCCGGGAACTTTTATTGTCTGCTAGTGCTCTTCTGTACACTACTAGATGAGAATGGTGTCTTTCAAATTTTAAGCTCTCAATATCTAAAAGAGTATATTATACATTGTACAGTAGAGAATCAATAAGCATTTGGTGAATGAGGGAATGTGCACTCACAGTACTTTCTTCATTTTGATAGAATAGGTCTCCTCAAAAAGTTGTGGATGGCCTTTTCTTCAACCTTAAGAATGTTCTTTAATAGAATGTTTTGCTTTTATAATGAGAAAAATTTATTTTAAAGCAAAAATTTTAAAGTTAATAAATTAAATTTTTCATTTTATTTTACATAAAATACTGCAATCTGTATAATCATTTGCAGGGTTCAACTTAAAGTCGAGCTGTTTCTTAAAGGTTTATGGCATTTCTAGCATTTATGATTCAAAATCTATTTTTCTAGAAGCAAGACTATAAAAAAATGGTGTGATAACATTACCACATGGCATCCCAAGCAATGCCCATGTTAATCTACCCTCTTTAATCTAAAATGTTCCTAATTGTCCTAACTAAAGATAAAGTACTTTGCTCCAAAGGCTTTTAAAAAATTTTTTTTTCTTGATTCACATCTTTTCTGATTATTACATGTTTAAGTCATGTACTTGATAATCTTCTTCAAAATGAATTATTAGAATATATGTGTTGATGAGGTTTTACGTGCACTCAAGTAGATAGAAATTAAACTTAGTTAATAGCTCTCTTAAAATTTCTAAAAAAATATTAAAATTTCTTTAACTACATCCTGCTATGATTTGGATATTCTGTTAATGCAGGGATATTCAGAGGTAAAAAGATTAGAGCACGAGAGCAGTAACTTATTCAGCCCATATCAGTTTGAATGGACTAACTGGGTCATAACTGTAGGCAGGGCAGCTTGGGTGAAGAGGTGGGTCACTGGTGTGGGGGAGGGAGGCGCATGCCTGAAAAGGTTCTTCTTCCTGTGACTCTTCTCCTTGCCCACTCTACTTCTTGACCCCACCATGAGCTGAGCAGCATTCCTCTGCTGGGCTCTTCCCCCATGATGTGTCTCATCTTGGGCCTAGAGCAGTGGAGTTGGCCATATATGGACTGAGATCTCTGAAACTATGAGCCACAAATAAACTTTTCCTTCAATCAGTTGTGCTTGTCAGGTGTTTTGGTCACAGTGACACAAAACCTAATTAAAATAAATGGACACTTTGGCTCTGTACTACAGAAGTTACTATTGACAGGTGCAACTTTTTTATTTGTTTTTGTTGTTGTTCTTTTTAGTTATACATGATCATAGAATTAATTTTGATATGATTATACAAGCATAGAATATATTTTATGTTAATTAGAACCCCATAATTGTGGATGTAGACGATGGTGGGATTCACTGTGGTGTATTTGTATATGTACATATGAATTATTTCAGATTCATTCTACTGTCTTTCCTTTTCCTTTCCCCCATTCCCTTTGTTCTCCTTTGTATAATCTACTGAATTTCTATTCTTCCCCTTCCTCTTTATTGTGGGTTCTCTTCCACATATTAGCAAAAACTTTTCACTTTTGGCTTTTGGAGACTGGCTCATTTCACTTAACATGATACTCTCCAGATCTATCCATTTACTGGCAAATGTCATAAAGTGATTCTTCTTAATGGCTGAGTAATACTCCATTGTGTATGTATGTATGTATGTGTGTGTGTGTGTGTATATATATATATATATATATATATAATTTTTTATTCATTCATCTGTGGAAGGACATCTAGGTTGGTTCCATAGCTTAGATATTGTAAATTGAGCTGCTATAAATATTAATGTGGCTGAGCCACTGTATTATGTTGATTTTAAATCCCTTGGTATATACCAAGGAGTAAGTTAGCTGGGTCAAATTGTGGTTCCATTCCTAGTTTTTTGAGGAATCTCTATACTACTTTCCTGAGTGGTTTCAGACAGGAACAATTTTTTAAATTGAAGTCTTTGGGCAGAGTAACTCTGCCAGGCTTGTCATCAGAATATTCCACTTGGGGTGTTGATACTTTTCAGGGCAACCTTATTTCCTTGCTCAGTTTCTTTCCCTGCGATGTGTCAATTGCAAGCATTGTTTGACGTGGACAAAATGCCTGCTCTGTGCTGAACTCAGCCTTCACAAATCACTGGATGCTATATCATTCAGTCCATGCAGAATGTTTTTCAGTTTCTTGTTTCACTACAAATTTCAGCCTTAATCCATCTCTAACCTCTTCATCTCTTTTTAAAAATTCTCCAGTGACCATACTGCTGTTGTTCCTTTCATCAATAAAAGCCATCATGACCAGGCCAGAAGTAACTGGAAGAAAGCATCTGCAGACACACCCATCCTACTGGCTGGTCCTGTCTGTTCCACACTGGGCCCAGTGGAATTATTCGGTATTATTTCTGAGGATGAAAGGGACATTAGACACCCAGCATTTTATCCTGGTTTCTGTGCCACTGTTGGCAGCGTTCCTTGGCAGAGGATCAAGGAAGCATGGCATGCTCTCAGTAAGCTAAGAAAAACTGGTTGATGTCACAGTTTATTTCCTGGGCACTGCTTTCAGCAACATTCCAATAACAGTGACCTCACTTGCTACTCCCTAAAATATATTCTGTGGATTCACATCTCATTTTATACCACAGTTAAATCCAATTAAAGTGAAATCCACATAATTCAAAACATCCCCAATCTAAATTATTTCAGGTAATATTTTATGTGATAGGATTTCATCACCCAAACCTAATTTAAGCTTGAAAGTTATCCCAAAGACTTTTTTCACTGGCTTCTCAAATTTTACCTTATATAATTGATATGCTTACTCCCTTCTCCCATGGAGATATTTAGGATTAGAGCAAAGGTTTAGGCTATATTATATTTGCCACCTGGCATTCATGTCCCAATCATTCTATTCCTTCCAGTTCTCCACCAGGACACACAAATCAAACTCTGCTGTCACCTGCCACTGGCCATAGGCATAGTACTGCACTCTCACCTAAGCTCATAATCTCATCATTGACATTGATACCTGCCCACCATGTGCAGGCAAAGATGCTCCCTTCCTTTGGCAGTCCCAGGAATAAACGTTCACATTTCACAAGCTCATGGAAATTCACATTTCCATGATGTTCACAAACAGAATAGTGGTATTTATGTTGGACAGTCAGAGCTACCCAGGATCTTGACCTCTGGGGATGGCACCTTCATGCTCTTCATCAGTTGAGCTTAAAATTCTAACTGGATCTCTGACTTCCTTCCTGCATTTTGTCCAGCTATCTGATCAATCACCTAC